AAAATTTTAGGATTTTTTTTAATTTTTAGGACTTAATGCATTTTGGACTTAGTGGGAGCAAAATTTAATAAGTAATACTACTATTGATTGATAATAGTCTCAATTATTCTCAAACAAACTCCCTCCATACCAAAATAACTATATTTTTTAATTTAAAATTTGTCTCAAATTAATTTTTATTTTTTAAAATAAATATATATATATTTTTTAATCTTATCATTATCCAATTACTTTGATTAATTATCCAATCACAAAATGTCTCTATTTATCTTTAATTAACTTTTTGCTAAGTGTAATATAGATAAATATATAATTTTTTTCTAAATTCTTAATTTTTAAAAAAAAGTTATTTTGAGACAATAGAAGAAGTAATAAAAAATAAAATAAAATAATAAACAAAATTTTAGTGTCAAAATATACAATAATTAATAAAATCATTTGAGCTTTAAGAATAGATTTTTTTTTTATAAAAAAAATTCATTTTCTTTCCTTTTGTCAAATGATACCCTGAACTTATCAAAATCTAAGCATCCTTGGTCTTTCTATTATAAGTGTCATCCAACTCAAAACTCGATTGCGAATTCACGTTTTCTCCTCCTTTCTTTTTTTTTTTTTTTTTTTTAAAATTAAAAAATTAGTTATTTTGTAATATAAAGGTTTAAGCTTTTAATTAAAATTTTTAAATTAATACATATTAATTTAATTAAGCTCTTATAGTAACAAGATGTCAAAGAATTTCTCTATTTTCTCCTCCGTTGATTCATTTCTTATATCATGCCACTGTGCATCTGAGCACCGGGTCCTTGTGTTACCTGAAAACCGCATTATGCATGCATTTCTCACATCATGCCAAAAAGGAGTTGGACTTGCTATTAATTTTTGGCACGAAACATGATGATGACATAGTTCGACTTAATCCTGTGGCTTTAATCCTATATTCCTATCTTATTATCTTTATTTAGTTCAATCATATTCTATCTTGTATTTTAAAGATGTCCACTGTC